AAAAAATTATAATTTAATTTAAAACTCTTTTTATAAAATATTCAACCAAATTTATTAAATTCAAAAATAATTTTATTTATATAAAAATTACGATATATTTAGATATATTTTTATATAAAAATCTATATTTATATCTATAAATTGTTAATTAAATAATGATAATTATATTTTTATATATACATATAGATTAATCTATCATTTTTTTAATGTATATCAATTGCTGGACGTTGGCCTATTTTGTACTTATACAAATTTATGTTCATAATATATAAAATAAAATCAAAATTTTCCATATTGATAATATATGTTACGTCAATTGTTTTTTGAAATTTTAGCTAAAAAAATATACGTTGTTTTAGATTTCCAAAACATTTGGAGGATAAGAATTATAGAATTAGATCTTTTGATCTAAATTGCACATAGTAATTCTACAATAACAAAGACAAAATATATATTAGTAGAAATTATTAAGATACATGTGATTTTCGTTCTACATGAGATCCCCGCTTTTAAGTTTCTTATAGGACAATTGAATATTTGTACATATTGTTTAGGATATAACCTCTAACTATAAGTTAGAATTTCGTTTTTTTGTTGGAATTTTAATCAATCATTTTTCATCTTTCTTTCAAACTCATCTATTGTACATAATTAGAGATGATATTATCCAAAGTTTCTAGAAAATATCAATTTTCTTCATATTTGTTGTCATATAGACTCTCTCTCTCCATATATATATATATATACTGCTTCTGTAGAGAGAAATTTTTACAATGCAGGGAGTGATCCTTCTCCATATATATATATATATATTGGTATCATCATCAATCAATATGGATGGATGGAGTTCATGGATTAACATCTTTAATCAAGATTATTGATCAAAGATTTAATTAGCACATAGACGATGAGAAATTAGATCAGTTGCAATTTTACAAAGATTAGAAAAAGAATAACATCTGCTCATTAAGGTTAACAGCCAAACCCAGAAAGAACAAACAAACCAACTGACAGCTTAATCCATATAGACATGCATACACACATATGCATGCACACATATAGATACGTGTATGTGTCTACATGCGTGTGTGTATGTGCATATATATGGACGGAATCCATTCAGACGGAGGCTACGCCTGCAGGTTGGGTTCTTGGGGAGGTGAAAGGCCCAAGAAGAAGAGAAGGAGCATCAGGAGGAGAGGGAGGAGGAGGAGGAGCGGCGGCGGCGGCGGTAGCGGCGGAAGAAACGGCGGCAGAAGCAGAAGAGACAGTGACAAAAGCACCATCACTACGACGGATCTTGACCTGAAGCATCCAACCATCGGCGTCTGGTTTTCTGTAACTTCGAATCTTAGCCGTTGATCCAGCTCATGATCATCCGTCATCTTCCATTGACATATATAGTAAGTAGCATCCGTAAGAAAACACCTTATTTTCTGAGAGATTGTCTCTGCGTCGAGTCTGTGTTGGTGCCTTCGAGGTATATATACATACATACATACATATATATATATATATAGCGACATGGAGAGAGGAGAGAGAATGCATATCTATGTTAATGTATTTATATGCATGTTTGTGTTTTCGGCACCAAAATATCCTTTTTCTTTTTTTTTCCAACGGGGAAAAGCGAAATTAAAGGTCGAAAATAATAAAAATTTAATTGGGAAAAAATGGTCAAGTATACTAGTGAATTATTTGGATTTGTTTGAATGAATAAATTTACTTGGACATATTGAAAATCTCTTTTGAAAAAAGAAATCGCGTATTAGACTTTTAATGTTAATTAAAGCCCACTTTTAAGATTTTTTATTGGTTGATCGCATACATCAATATAGACAAATAAATGGAATACATGTAAATTATATGGCATTTGCCAAGTGTGTAATGATAAACCCATACATATATATATATATATATATATATAATAGTCTTCACTGTCTATTTAAATTTAATCAAATATTATCTAAGACCAAACATTTTCATAGATAAATTGAAATTATTAAGAAATGCGCAACAGGTATAAATTCCTGTGTGCCCGTGAAAGCGTTACTTAAAGCTGTTCTCATGTCTTTATTCAACTAACAAAATAATAGTAGAGAGTACTTGATTAGTAGCCCAATGGTTTTAATTAACCTGCCGTAGGGATTATTCTTTTTTAGCTTGATTTGTTATTATATCTATATCTATATCTATATATATGTAATGATTAATCGGAGTAAATTGTTACTTTAATTCTTTTTTTTTATAATCTATTCTTGTTGTGCAATATATATATACATATACATATATATATATATATATAGTTAAAGAGATATTCAAGAATACAATATATAACATACACATATATTAATTAGTAGTTGCAAAGTAACATATAATATATAGTATAAAGAGGATACCTCTGAAATTTCACAAAGACAAATGGTTCACACTTGTTAACAAAGGAAGAGTATTTTTCACTTTGCTAATCAAATTAAAAAGTGATATCTAAAAAATTTAATCAAGATAAATTTCATTTCGCAACCATATCTAGAATATTATACCGTTATAAATTTTATTGTATCATTAAAAATATTTTAAAGAATATTATATTACGTGTCTTATATATATAGTGGCAAACCCAAAAATAATAATAAATGGGGACAATAATCTTATTATTTTAAGATATTTGTTATGGGAGAAATTTATAATTTGTTTAAAATTTTATAAAGAAATTAAAAAATTTAAATAGACAAATGAGATCTATATATATATGTATATATATAGATCCGGCATACATTCATACATATAAAAAGAAAATAGTATTTAAGCTAGGAATACTTTGCCTACCAAACTATTTATATAGTTTCTCTTTTTTTTTTCTTTTAGGAATAGTCCATGCGTGGAGATAATATTAATAACTCTAATTGGCTCATTTATCAGTTATTTTATTTTTTCCATTTTTTGTGGGACTATATATATATATATACACACATATATATAGTTCTCTTGAAGATTCTAGAAGAATAAAACCTTTACCAATATTTTACTGCAAGTAATCACACACAGAGATGAGAGATGCATGAACATTCCAAAGCTTTATATTTATTAGGTAAAATGATAAAGACTTTAGGCTTAGCTCGTCTATTTTCCTTTTACATTATTATTTTTGTAATGCATATCCTCATGCGACTATGATAGGTTTCTGTTTTTTTTTTTAATTTTTTTAGAAATGCATAGCGTATGAAAATAATATTACAAGAAAAATTTCAAAAAGGGTCCACGCCTAATTAACAGAAACATTTGAAAATACTAAATCTAGTGATGGTTGCTAATGTATATATGTATAAATACGTACATTTTAAAGAATGTGGTAATTTGCTAATTATGTAATGAGAAAGCATGCAACTTGGGTCTCGTGCAAATGAGAAATATTTAATAACTTCCAAATTGGGAAAGTGCATTGTATCTAACTTCATTAATGTAACATGTATTGGCCCTAGATTTGTCATTTCTATAGTGTTTATTATTTGACCTATTTGGTTTTCTTTTATATATATATATATTCTCCTTGAAATCTTTTTTTCCCGGTTTGATTCCCAACTTGTTTGGCTTTTTCAGCTTAACTTGTGCTGCTGTTTTTATTTTGGTTTTGCCCGGTTTTCCGCTTTGGAATTCATAATATTTTCTCTATATTTTCTTTTTTTATTCTTTTAAAAATGTAAATTGCTACACAAAAACAAGACATGTTTTCCGGTAACATGGATTCAGAAATGAATGGAGATCAAATGGATCGACAAGTGGATAGTATTTGTGCTCTAATATTATTATTGCAAAAAACAAATCGAAGAGATTCTGAATATCTTCAAAATGAAGAATTGAGATAAAATATATAAATAGTGACACCAATTTGAAATGAAGAGTAAGCGGTCTAAATCCGCCTATTTTATACGAAAATATGGGATATAGATATACGTATAAATATCTATGTACGGGCGAATGTTAGCAGTTTGTTTACATTGTGATTAACTTAGAATAACAACATGTAGAGATGAATATACACACATTTGACACATAAACTAAGACGCTACAATTTGTAAATAAAATGAGAGGATATAATTAAGGACAAACCCAAAAAAGCCCATTAACTATTCTATTTAATTATACCAAACAAATCTTCCACTTAAAATTCATTATAATAAATTATCAACTATTATTTTTGAACAAAAATACCATCAGATATATAAATGATTTAATTTCATTTTAAATTAAATTAGAATATTTTTAAATAATTTAGATAGTTAATGAACCTTTTTATTAAAAAGTAATAATTGATGATTTATTATTAGGGAAAAAACCCTAAAAATTCCTAAACTTGTAGAGGTGCTTATTAATTCCCAAACTTGCAAAATTGAACACGTTAAATACTGAACTTGTTAAACGGTTCCATAATCGTCCATAGCACTATTTGGTCAAAAAAATGAGTTGACCGATCCGACGTGGCGCTGACGTGGCTGTAATTTTCTGAGTTGGCTCGCCACGTCACGCGCCACGTCAGATCAGTCAACTCATTTTTTTGACCAAATATTGCTATGGACGATTATGGAATCGTTTAACAAGTTCAATATTTAACGTGTTCAATTTTGCAAGTTTGGGAATTAATGGGCACCTCTACAAGTTTAGGAATTAATATTACTCCAAATTACAAGTTTAGGAATTTTTAGGGTTTTTTTCTTTATTATTATGAGTTTTGAGTAGAATTTTTTTTTTTATGTGAGTAAAATAATTAATGATTTTTTTTTATTTTTCTTTGTTGTTCAATATATAAATATGATGTTATAAAATGTAGATGATACTATAAGGAGAAATGAATGTTCGAAAAGGAGCATGTCTTTTTTTTTTTAATAATATTTGGTTCAATGGGAATTTAATGGGCTGAGAAAAAAAAGAAGTCTTTTCTGTTTGATACTGATCCGTACACCATCATCACACACATCGTCGTCGACGTTAGAACTCACAGGTTATCATATCAGGCATGGATCTAAATCTTCATAATTCCAAAATTTCAAAATGGCGACAAGAATATCACAAAACAACAACGGTACATATAATCATCGCCGGCCTCCGCCGCTCCACGGCGGTTGCCTCTCCCTCTGAAACCGCCGAGGATTCTAACTAGCTTCAGACCAAGAGACCGCACTCCTCTCCTCTTGTTTCCATATCCTTCCTCCTCGTCCTTGTACTTGGCCGAGCTTCTTGCCCTGAAAGAAATCTCCCGGGCTGAGTTCCACGTCTCTTGGGGACCCGGAGACGTTGCTCCGGCTTTCTTCAAGAGCCTTGACTCACTCTCCCAGAGGAAGAGAGCGTCTTCTTTAGCGAGCGAGACCTGGTTGCAGAACGCTTCTGTGTGCCGTTTGTCCTTTGATTCGAGCAAGCCTACACGGTTTTTCGCCAGAAAAAACATGTTTAGATCCAGACAGAATCATACGTACATACATACAGAGATAGTGTAGAATAATGTAGATCAGAGGTTTTACTTCGGAGCTTTTGATTTCTTCTCTCGTTCTTGGATCCCTCGTCTGAAGATTCCGACGCATTCAAGCCGATGGGTCGGAATCGTTGTTTTCGCTATCCTCCATTACGGATTCGAAGTGTTCTTCCAACAAAGACCGTTGCTTCTCTGAAGAAACAGCAATAAGTTGATTCCCTGTCGATTTGGAAGCCCTGAAGCCAAGGAAATAGCTGTTGGTATGAAATGGAATTCGGAAGAATACCAATGAGAATTCCGCCCTTTGCATATAATCTAACACAAAGTAATCGTAAATCAACACATCGAACATGTCACCATCCAAAGCATCGGCATAATCAGAGGTATATCGCTGGGAAAAAGGAGAATTTTCGGTCATTAGGGTTTATGCAGGGGTTTAACAAATTCTATCAGAGCTAAATTCCCGAAACCGAAAACTGGGCGGGACTTACTGGGGATTTTACGGAGTGCTAGTTGCTTCTTGGGATTAAGCCAAGTCTCAAAATTCGGCGCCGATGAAACATGGTACAGCTTAACACCATTAATGGAGGTCGACTTCAATCGTCACCATTGCCAACTAGGGTTTAAGGAATACTTATCATCTCTGCTCTCTCCTCTTAGCCCTCGGGTTGCAGAGAAACGAGATGGGGAACAAGGTTTTAGGCAGTGACTCGTGTTTTCGCTATGGGCCCTAAAAGCCCAAATCTCAATTTTGGCGAAATTTGAAAAAATAAACCGAAAAAGAGAGAACCTAAATCTCAAATTTAGGGTTTATTCTAAAATCTCTCGCCCACGGACTCGAAATTCTCTTCTCTTCTACTGCAGTGGTCAGCTTCAGCTTCAGTTCTTTTCATCTGTTCAGCAAAGGTTTCGTTTTTTTCCACCTGTGCTTTACATTCTTTATTCGTTTGAGCTATAAATTTTCCTAATTATGATGGTTTGCTCAATCTCTGTTCTTCTATGCGATACCCAGAAGCAATTTTGATTAGTTTCCGTATGAATTCCGTGGGGAAGAGTTCGATTGCATGTTTCTGTTCTTATTTTTCTGCTTTACACCAATCAGCAGACGAAAAGGTTACACCTTTTTGCATGTACTTACTTGTTCTGCAGCCCGAATAACGATGATTCTCGCGGTTTATTTTGTAATCTGAAGCGTGTTTTCTGGGGAAAATGGTGCGGCCCTATGGGATGAAAGGGAAGAAGAGGAAGCAGAGACAAGAGAGGTATGACAAGGAAGAAGAAGATGGAGAAGAAGAGCAGCAAAGGGTTGAAGAAGAAGAAGAAGAAGAAAAGGTGAAGAAAGCGAAAATGGAGAGTACCTCAGGAGCAGAGGAAGATGAGGAAGAAAAGGAAAAAGACGAGGAAGGCGGCGGAGGGACAGCAGGGGATGAACTCGAGGGCATTCCTATTGCCCCGAGCAATCTCGGCACGAAAAAGTCCGGTATCGTTTTCGTGCTCGAGAAAGCTTCTCTGGAAGTTGCGAAAGTCGGAAAGGTATTCACTTGATTTTGTATATAATTAAACTCACCGCCCTTGATGTGATATGGTTTGTTCAAGGTGCTGAGGTAATATCATTCTTATGCGCAGACTTACCAGCTACTGAACTCTGATGATCATTCTAATTTCTTGAGGAAAAACAACAGGAACCCGGCTGATTACCGGCCCGACATTGCTCATCAGGTCAGTGACCGTTGAGCCGAAACCATCTGTATTCACATCATCTAGACTAATATAGGAATGCTTCCACATTCTTCAGGCCCTTCTGATGATCCTCGACAGTCCAGTCAATAAGGCTGGAATGTTGAAAGCTGTGTATGTTAGGACAGAAAAAGGCGTCCTTTTCGAAGTTAAGCCGCATGTCCGTATACCCAGAACGTTTAAGCGGTTTGCTGGCGTCATGTGTAAGTTTAGCTGTTTTGCTCTCATCCTTTCTCGGTGATATTGGTTCATTTTTTCTCAAATCTTCTTGTGCGGTGTCTCGGCCTTGCAGTGCAATTGTTACAGAAGTTAAATATAACCGCTGCTGGCAAGCGTGAGAAACTTTTACGGGTGATCAAGAACCCGGTAACGCAATATCTACCTGTCAATTCCCGGAAAATAGGTAAACCTATACTTTTTCCCGCATTTGTCTCTTGCCCGATTGTTACATCAGCTTAGAGAAGGGTTTTGTTTCTTTCTTATCAGGCTTCTCATACAGTTCCGACAAGCTGGTAAATATGCAGAAGCACCTAGCTGGAGTTTGTAACAACATGGACCTTGTTTTTGTGGTAAGCTCTAAATCCGCCTTCTGCTTTTTCATCTATGGAGATGCTCTATCATATGAATTCGTATCAGTTTAGTTCCGAAACAAACTACGACCGGTAATTTCCTTAACGTTTCAGCTCGGTGCAATGGCCCACGGCAAAATAGAGTGCGATTATATCGAAGATTTCTTGGCTAGTAAGTTCTTTGCTGGTCCTATAAACAACATTTTCTGGCAATGTATCATGTTTTATAGATTGAAACAGGGCATGTTCTCATTTTCGGACCAAAGGAGCATATATGGTGAAACATGATCTAAACCTCTTTCGGGTTTTTTTTTTTTTTTTTTTTTTGTTTCTACAGTTTCTGGTTATCCACTGAGCGCTGCGTACTGTGTCTCAAGAATATGCGAGGCTCTGTCCACAAATTGGAACATATTATGAGAACTGTCTCGGGACATAGAAAGGTGAAAATTTTAAATTTCCTTTGCTATTTAAATATAATGATATTTCTGTTAAATCTTCAAAAACCTTGCAGTAATAATTGAAGTTTGCAGTCTGTAACTTTATGATAGATATGTTAAAAACAAAAGGGATAATGATTTTTGTTGTTATTACAATCTTGGTAGGTATATATATATATATTAGTAAAATTTTTAATGTTATAAAAATATTCAAAGCAAATAGAAAATATAACATAATATAATAAAGGGAAAATGACATTTTCCTACACCAACTTTGCAAAATGTGACCTTTTCCTCCACGAATTTTTAATTTGACAAAAAACTACACCAAATTATCAAATGTGCCAAATTGATACACGAACTACCCGATTTAACTGCAATTTCCTACACAATCCGAAAACGGTGTTAAGTGTCCGTTAACCGCTGACGTGGCATGCCACGTGGCGGCTGACGTGGCACGCCACATAGATTTTTTTGCCGCATCAGCATGCCACGTCATATTTTTAAAAAAATTCCGAAAAATATGAAAAAAAAATCGATTTTTTTTTTTAAATTTAAAATAAAATAAATAAATAGCAATATATATATATATATATATATATTCATATATATTCATATCTATATACAAATAAAAATATAAATATATATACAAAATAAAAAACATACACATATATATACAAACATCTATACAAATATATATATACATATACATACAAACAAATATATTTATATATACATATACATATATAAACACATATATATGTATATATACATATGCATATACATACATACATACATACATACATACATACATACAAAATAAAAAAAATCACACATATATATATATATATATTCATATCCACATACAAATACAAATATAAACATAAATACTTCTATGTATATATATTTCTATATATATCAAATAAAAATATACACATATATACATGCATTTATACAAATATATATGCATATACATACATACAAGTATATTTATATATATACACATACATATATAAATACATATACATGTATATATATGTATTCATATCTATGTACAAATACAAATATAAACATATATACTCCTATATATATATACTTGTATATTTTTTTATTTTGTATGTATGTATATATTTATATATATATATATATATATGTGTGATTTTTTTTATATTTTGTATGTATGTATGTATGTATTTGCATATATATATATACATATATATGTGTTTATATATGTATATGTATATATAAATATATTTGTTTGTATGTATATGTATATATATATTTGTATAGATGTTTGTATATATATGTGTATGTTTTTTATTTTGTATATATATTTATATTTTTATTTGTATATAGATATGAATATATTTTTTGCTGTTTATTTATTTTATTTTAAATTTTTTTTAAAAAAAATCGATTTTTTTCATATTTTTTCGGAATTTTTTTTAAAAAATATGACGTGGCATGCTGATGTGGCAAAAAATCTATGTGGCGTGCCACGTCAGCCGCCACGTGGCGTACCACGTCAGCGGTTAACGGACACTTAACACCGTTTTCGGATTGTGTAGGAAATTGCAGTTAAATTAGGTAGTTCGTGTATCAATTTGGCACATTTGATAATTTGGTGTAGTTTTTTGTCAAATTAAAAATTCGTGTAGAAAAAGGTAACATTTTGCAAAGTTGGTGTAGGAAAATGTCATTTTCCCTATAATAAATATAATCGTTCCATAATTCCCATAAATAATCATAACAAACTATCATGATAAATTTTTTAAAAAAAATAACTGCGAAAATAATATTGAAAACACAACCTATAAAAATCCATTCTCAAGTCTCAACTTGATCTTGTTTAGGATCCGAAACAACCGTCTACGGGGACAACACGCGGTGCACCGTCCGATAGCGCAAGGGCCGGAACACCATCGCCCTCGGCGACCGCAGCCGACCTGTCGCGGCTCCATCGTGGTGTCCGCCGGGTTCACCTTTTGTACTGTAACGTTATATCAGACGAGTTATTGCACTTTCTGCAACGTTAAATTAGCTTCGATTAGATATATATATATGCTATAACCTTGACTCTCCTCTTTGGAAGTATCGGCACAAACAGCGAAGGAGAGGGGGGAGAGCACTTCCCAAGACGATAACAAACTTAAGACTCGCCATTGCTGAATCAACAAACGCTAGGACAGAACACAGAGAGATGTTTAAGAGATTTGTGTGGGAGAAAGGACCGACCAATGCATACGGAACTATTTATAGTCGCGGGACTAACGGAAGCCGACAAATTAACGCGGCTGGACTCGACACAAACTCATTGACTCAACGGGGAAAAGTCTGCAAAGATTCAGTGTGAAATTAAAGCTATCCAAATGTGAATAGTAGATGTGTGTATATATACATATATATATATATATATAACATAATTAGTGTTTTCGAATTTATAAAAATGTGAATTGTGGAATACTTAGAAGGTAAGGAAACGGGACCCATTCATTTTGACGATTGACCAAAGGGGTAAACTTCAACAATACACCTTTCCTGTCGCATGTGTATCACCGATACACTTAAAAAATATAACTAATTATTAAATTACAGACTTACCTTTAAAAAACCTGGAAAGGTCTTTCCTACTAAAAGACCTTAATAAAAGATACAAAGATACGTGTAGGTTAAAAATTTGGGAATGGTACCGAGATAAAAAGAAAAAAAGGGAAGTTAGGGCTTTTTAAAATCACTTTTCGAAAATCAAAAGACATACGAAGGTGTTGAGAGAGAAACGAAATTTTGTGTGCGAAATCGAGCAAAATGAAGCGAACCTAGCGAGGAGCGAAGAAACCCAGAATCAAGAGGAATCTTTGTCTTCGTCGGGTGAAAAGGTCCAAATCGGAGCGACGCATCTCGGTCGACCGGAAAAACAAATCCACGGAGGAAAATGACAGAAGATTCTTATGCCCATGTTGATGTGAGTATTTTGGATGAGTTTTTTTTCGAATTCGTTCAGATTATCTGAAAAATTGAGAAATATTTTGTGCGTATATTAATTAGTCTTATTCGCAACTTAGAATTACAAAGTTGTCATCTAAAGTAGTGGTAGATGCCACTAAATATTATATAAATATCTGTAAAATGAATTAGTTGTAATAGTATTTGAATATGTATACTAGTCGCTAATGCAACTGAATACATTTATTTTATTGCAGAGCGAGATGAAGATCTACCGAAACCAAGCACAAGGAGTTGTATATGCTACCAAAAACAAGTTGTAAATAAAGAGTAATAATTGCAACAAAAAAAATAGTATCAATTGTAACTAAATTAATTGAAAAAACTATGTAGACAAATTAGAACGAATATATTTAAAATTTTGAAAAGTGTGCTTATTCAAGAAAAAAAAGATGAAATCGAAATTAATTTAAAAAGTCATGTGGATAAATTAAAACGGAAATATTTAAAAATATTTTCAATATATATATTTTTTTAAATTCAAATATAAAAAGATATTTTAGATATTTTATATATAAGGGTATTTAAATCATTTTACCTAAATTGGGGTGTAGAATGTGATAAAAAATATTTTAGATTTTGAGGGGTGTATCGATAAAAGTACTGCGACATGGCGAAGGGCATTGCTGAAGTTTACCCTCACCAAAGAGCCACTCATTTCAAAGCAAAATCCCTTTTGGGTTTGACAAGTCTCTTCAAAAAAATAAATTATACAATTTTGTTTGTTTGCCTATATTTAAATATTTTTGCCATAAAGTGTGCATATATATATATATATATTCCCTAAGCACACGTTAGAGTAAAAGAAGTGAAAGTAAAGCCAAATCTATTTGAATATTATCAAAATCTGAAAATTTTCGAATGTAATATCAACCGGTTGTCAGCAACATAAGAATTTATATATTTATTTAGCACCATATCCCGAAAAAAAAAAATTGACCTCAAAATTTTGTAGGTTCCACCCGAAAAACTCTATAGAAAAATGAAAGGATGGTGTAATTTTATGTGTTGTAACTTTATTCATTGTCAAGATATAATAAAGCAATTAAAATACCAACTTTTGACAAAAAAAAAAAAGATATAATAAATATTGATAATTTGAATATTATAATTTAACGTTACAAATAAATGCTAAAATATAAATATGCAATATGTAACTTCAATTTTATTATTAATACGTTTCGTAATTTGATTATGCAACATAGAAAAGATATCCATTACGCTCAAGATATAATCATATTTTATTATTTACTGATTCTGCAAGTTTAGTTGATAACAAGAAGTGGAAAATTCAAAGGAAACTAATATTTAGTAACTCGTTTTATACTAAAACTTTTTAGGTCCAATATATTGAACAATTATTGAATTTTTATTTCTATATGAATATAGATCAATTTGAAATTTTAAGATCTGGTAAATATATATACGTGTCTTTATAATTTTAAATTATTGATTATAACTAACTATTTTAGTATATAAAATGGATAATATATTAAATTTTAAAATTTTTAACCCTATTACTACAATCATCTCTCCTCAATTTTTATATATAGTTTTTTATTTTGAGATTACATTATTTAAAAATATAAATAAATTACACGTTTTTTACTATGATAATGACCCAATAGCCATAACTTTATTTTTCAACAGGTTTATAAATATATCCTGTTATATTCATACAAGCTTGTCACTTGTCAGTGCTATATAATTAAAATATAATTGGTCCATTCATAAGAACGATTAAAAGGCTTGACACGAACAATGAAGAAAGACGTATAAATATATTTAAAAAATACTTACTTCAAAAAAATTGTAACATGAAATTTATTTTATTAATTTCAATATTAAAATATCCTATTCTCCCAATAATTATTTTAAACTATTTTTCTAAATTTTCGTTGTTTTCTTTTTATTACTTTTGTAAGATTGTATTGCTTTTTATGTATAAAATTAAGATATGTTGTTTTATGGTGTAATAAAGTAACTAATAAAAAATAAATATTTTTTTCACATACAAGAAAAGCTTTATAAGTGACACTTTTTAAAATTCAGCTATATGAAATATTTTCTTACTATCCCGGATTCGAATTTCATCTAGACATCACCAATATAAAAAAACAATATTATAGTAAAAACATACGAGGTATACAATTTTATTAGAAAGCTAAAGAACTATCTAAAGGGTTTTGATTACACCATAAAACAACATATATATATATATATATATATCAAAATTAATGGAACATAAACATATATAATCATAATTTTTTTATATGAACAATTTTGAATTGGGAGGGCAAAATGGGCAAGTTAGGGTTTTATGGGCCTGTCTGAAACATAGTGTCTGGGCTTTGCTTTTTCCATGTGGAATCAGATCAATTGGTGACTTGCCAATGCCATGCATGGACGAGATCATGGACTTGAGCAATGAACAGTACCCCCCGCTCTAGTTTCAAACTACAATATTTATATATAAATAATACTTACCCATTTTAATTAAATTACATAAAATAGTAAACATACCGCATATGCATACATTTACAATATATACTCAATACTCAACCCGTATTTACACAAACAAAATTAATATTTTATTATTATTAGTCTAAAAAAAGTCAATTTTCAATTTTGTCATATACGGACTTTAAAATTTTTTTTATCAAGATAAATAAACTTGGCAAATATGGTCTTAAACATACATCTACACTAAAATTTTTGTAAAATTTATGAAGATTTATAGTAATATTTTAAAATTTTATATATTTTGATATAAAATTTAAAATTCGTGTATTTATATTTCAAGAGTTTATGTTTTCTACACTGTTATTATTATTATTATTATTAAAAATAAAAAGACAGACAAATCTACAAACGATTACTTGAATCTTTCCATGTTGCTTTCGTTAAACCGTTTTCTTAAAGCTAATTAAGGAAAGCTTTAACAATCAATTAATATAAAGAAAACGGTTGAAAGTTATTATTTAGGACGACGGTCTGAGAACCAAACAAGTTACACAAACACTATAAAAGACAAAATAATCAGTTAAGGTCATAAACCCAGACAAAAGGCATGAAGACAGAACCGAACCAGAGCTTCCCGTCTCTCTCTTGAACCTCGCTTACGAACGTCATCGTCTTCCCTTGACTATCCTCAAGTATCTCCATTATCTCCCCCTTCTCGCTCAGCTTCACGGCCACTGCATGAGGTTTCCCGCCTTCGAAGAGGTAAACCATCAGCTCCATCTTCATCGTCTTCATCAGGAACTTCCCTATCCATGGATGAATTAGCGCAAACTGTGGGAACACTCCTTTCTTCGAGTGAATTGCCACCCAGAAATCTCCATCGGCAGTTCTCCTGATGTTGTCGGAATAACCAGGAAGCTTGGCGAAGACGTCGCGTGAGCCGGCCTTTGGACCCTTGAGCCAGTAGCGGTGGACGAGGAGGGAGGGTGGCTCGCACACGACCACGAACGAGCCGTCTTTGCTCAGGGCGAGACCGTTTGGGAAGTGAAGGTTTTCCATTATAACCTTGGCCTCTTTCGTCTTCTTGTCGTATCTGATCACTCTTCCCGTCTTCTCTCCACTCATAAACGCGTTGAATACGGTTCTGCATGCACAAGGATATACATATATCACGTATGCATGCATGCATGCATGATTCCCTATTAGTGATTTGTGAGCTTAATAACCATAATCGTGTATTCAAAACGTGTTACCTAAACCACGAAAACCGCTGTTTAAGCCACCATTTTCCGACCAGAGAGAATAAACTCACCTGATTTGGTACTTATCGCTGCTATCAGTGAAGTAAATGGCATCTTCTTCCTCGTCGATATCCATGTGATTAGTGAAAGTGACCTTACGACCTGCGGCCTCGTCGACGACTTTCTCGGCCAATCCTCCACCGGGACCGACCTTCATTACGCCAAAGTAGCAGTCGCAGATGTAGAGATCTCCCGATTTCTTCTCGAAGTGAACCCCTAATGGCCGCCCACATATATGCTCAAGCTCTGGCACGTGCTTCGAACAATTCTCTCTTCAACCCGACCAGAAAAAAAGAAAAAACAGTGTCAATACATTGATTATGATTATGAATCTCATCGAAACTTTACCAAACCTAAAATTCCCCAAAAGGGTTTACTCTAAGTACCTTAAATTCATTGGTACGCCGTTTCAAATTATCGAATTAGAGACGATTCAAAATGGATGGTTTTTTAACTACAAAGCGTAGGTAGAAGAAGAAATCCAAACCGGGAAAACAACCGAACCAGGTACACTTATCCAAACCAAACCTAACCCACACACACTAATGTAATTATTTCTCTGGTCATTTCGATGTCAGATCATTTACCGTGTTGTCCCGCGCATAAGCTCGTTCAATGGATTTAAGGTTGGAATTCCATTCGGTGCCGAACAATTTTTTTTTGGTTGGGGTCGGTTCTGATAGTTCGTTAAAAATCAAGATCATATATTATATGCACGTTATTAGATGAAAATTTCTACCTTCGCATGTCCAATGCAGGTGACTCTCTCAAGGAAAGAAAGAAAATGAAGTTTATGGTTTACAAGTTACACATGCGAAAAAAAAAACTTTTTTTTGTCTTGTTTCCGTACCTGTTCGGAGACGTGACGGCGAATTCGGACCAACCGAGAACTTCGCCGCGCCACTTGAGGATTCGGCCGTCGGCGACGCCGACGTAGGGACCTTCGCCTTGTGGGTCCCAGTCGAGGCTCTCCGGTCCCTCTCCGGGCACAGGGATTGGCTTCGCCCTGTGAAGAACGTCCTTCGCGCCCTCAATCCGCGGCGGAGCTATAATGTACGGCGCGGCGATTACGACGAAGATGGCGACGGCCACCGGAACTCCGGCCACCGCCAGAAGCCTACGGCTGATGGGCATGTCTCTTTTTACAGTTTTACCCTCTCAAAGAGCCAATTGATCCGAAGAGATTAGTGATAATTATAAACGAGAGCATATAAGTGTGTGTGTATATATATGTATATAAACACGTACGTATCCAAGGACTTGTAATGGAGATTTCAGAATAATATATTTGGATCTTCTTCGTTGTGTGGCTGAAGCTCCTTTATTAGGGATAAATTGACGAGGGCAAGAAATCCCATGTTACGTCTTAATTTCGGTGATAAAGTGAATAGAGTTTGGTTACAGATTTAAAATGGAATTAAAGTTGACGAAAAGAAATTAAAAGAAGGTTGTGTTTACATGCATCTCTGGCGGTAAATTACTTTTACGACTTTATGGGTGAGTTTTAACTGTGTAAGATTCTTATGACACGTCACACCGCCTGGCTTCTTGTGCGTTGTCTGAAAAGAAGAACAACGCATAAAAAGAAAAAGAAAAAGCTTAAAATCAAAGTGTAGAATCAATTAAAGTTTCTATTTAGAAAAAAATATATTTATATTCCGATGCTCTTTATAAAAATTGAATTGAACTGTTTGAGATACAAAAAAAAATTATTATCTATTTTCTTGGATTCCTTCCGTTTAAATAAGTTTAGGAATTTCTTTTGACTAATTCAAAGTAAAGCAAGAACGAGCAGTCTCCAAAAGAAAGTTACACATCAAAGAAGATAAAATATGGCTTTAAATAAGTTATTTGCTTATCTCATATAATAGAAAATAATAATTTTTTTTTACAATCGTTCACCGTATTTTTGGTCGGAAAAAAGTCTACGTGAATATTTTTTCTTCTAAAAAGAGATTTACTCCATTCAGCCTCAATCTTGGTTAACAATGTTGATGCAATAGATGATGATGATGATGATGATGATGATGATGATGATGATGATGATGATGATGATGAGCTATTAATATTTCTTATATTCCTATAAGCTATTGGAGACTAAAATCTTCTCATACATTTAATTTAACCCGGAAAATCAAGATGTCAGGGGAAAATGATCGATCATACATATTCATAAATATCCAGACATTGAGGGAATCATAAATCATAAATCCAAAATTATAAATCGTAAATTCCAAGGAAAGGCATGAGAACTGAGCCCATCCACAACTTGCCATCTTTCTCCTCCACTTCACTGATGAAACTCAACCTCTTCGCTTCAGTATCCTCAAGAACCTCAAGAACCTCCCCTGTCTCGCTCAGCTTCATGGCCGTCGCATGAGGCTCTCCCCCGATGAATATCGAATGCAGACGCTGAGGGCTCACGGGGAGTTTCAGCAGCAGATTTCTGAACCACGAGTGCGAAAGGGCGAGTCTTGCCACTCGCCCTTTCTTCGCGTGCAACGCCACCCAGAATTCCCCCTCCGGGTTCCTTCTTACGTTGTCCGGGAACCCCGGGAGCTCTGCAAACACGTCGTGGCTTCCCGCCTTCGGACCGTCGAGCCATAGCCTTAGGATCCTGCAAGTGGTCGTTTCGGCTACCAGCAGATAAGACTGGTCTTTGCTTAGCGCAACGCCGTTTGCGAACGCAAGCCCTTGTAGCAGCACGGTTACTTTCCCGGTAGATTTTTCGAACTTGATCAGTCTCCCTGTCTTGTCCAAGTTTAAGACCGACAACAAGAATTGCCTGAACACAAAAAAAAAAAAAAATCGAGAAGATGGGTCAGTTACGGTTAGATTCATGTTCTAAACCTTGTGAAAATGGACAAAGAAGCCGGAAACTAGGATAATTGCTAAAAGTTCAAGCTCTATCAGTTTAAACTCCAAGAAACACCATCCTTTCCATTACCTTCTCTGGAATCTGGTGCTGGTATCCGTGAAGTAGATCGCACCCGCCTGATCATGGATGTCCAAATCGTTAGTGAAACGAAGCGGTTGGCCATCGATTTCCGTAACCAAGGGTCTGGCTAAACCACCGGTTGGACCGACGACAAGAAGGCCAAAATATGCATCGGCAATGTAGAGATCTCCGGTTTTGTTATCGAACCGCAGTCCCAGCGGCCTACCACACACATGCTCCATCTCTGGGGCAAATGGGCGACTACACTCCTGCCTGCATCAGCTTCTCAAATATCGGTAAGAGAGAACTACAACCACATCATACATGTCTAAGCATTGACATACAAGACTGGTACGCAGCAATTCTTCGAAAACTCAATAGTTGTAGGAGACATGATTATATAGTCTTATATACTAAACTAAGCAAGGATCAGAGCTCTTCCTTCGTTCAAGATTCGTAAGATAACCCGGGCTAAACTCGGATGCGGCTGTCTAGTTGATTACGTTGCCGTCAGGGAAGTACTTACAGTTGGTGTAAAACACTTTACCCTTTGAGAGATCTCCGGTTCAAAGTGAACTTTGCACTCATTAGTTAGGTTAAACCTTTCAAACAGCCATGGGACCAGACAGAAGTACATCGGATTGTTAAGGATGAACAAAGTTCATCAAAGAATCTTACTCTGTCAGCTGAAATCCTCTGTTATCTTTGATATCTACCCGAAGAAGTTTTCTACAAACCCTTGAAATTACCCATCTTCCATTAACCAGACAGCAACAGATTACATACATTATAAAGGGTACATAGACTTTCCAAGAACAAAACCAGAGCTCCAAACGACACAGCAAGAACAGGAAGAAATTTCAATTCCACCATCCAACCTATAAGCAAACCACGAAATTGAAGATTGAAGGGTTCGATTCAAATTTTCTTCAAACGGTCAAAATTTCAACCAGACATCAGACAATCATCAGCTTAGGATAAATTAAGGGAAATAAAACAGTGACCTATTATGCGAGGTGTAAGCAAAATCTGTCCATCCAAGCGAATCTCCCCGCCATCTCAGGATCCGACCGTCGGCGACACCCGTGTACGGACCCTCACCCGCCGGATTGAAGGCCAGACTCTCCGGACCAACGGGTCCACCGAGCTGAACCACCCTGGCCGATCCGAGAACATCAAGCGAGCCGTCGATTCGAGGAGGCGCGAAGACGCCGAAACCGCTTGTCGAAGCCGAGGCGAAGGCCGCGACAATGGCTAAAGCCACGGCTAGGGAAGCTACGAGCATCGTGTTCATGGTGACGGGTTATGGGCAGAGCGCGTGTGTATTTATACGTAAATATATCAATGATCGGCTGAACGGCCGGTGCTACTGCCACGGCTAGGGAAGCTACGAGCATCGTGTTCATGGTGACGGGTTATGGGCAGAGCGCGTGTGTATTTATACGTAAATATATCAATGATCGGCTGAACGGCCGGTGTGCACCTACTCGTTGCACGACCCAATTTAATTAATTTTGAATTTAATTAGTATTAATTCAGCTCAAATATTTCATGCAATTAAGTTTCTAATCGTATCGATATGCCCATCATTTTGTTAATGGTTATCCAAATATATTATAAGAAAAATTTGAAGTAATTGAAAAATATAGATAAAGTAAGTCTGATGGATGATAATTTCCTGATATTATACTGTTTCTAATTAAATGAAGATAAAAAAAATATCTCAATTATTATTATCTTATTATGGACGTCAAAGCTTGATTCGACTATAAGAATTTCATTTCAAATCTAAGCAATAATAAATCGTACATATCAAAGAAAAAAAAATTGTACGTATCCATGAAATGACACTCTTTTTATTTTTCTTGGTCAAACCGGCAACAACCCATTCCTCAACGATTCTGACTTTGACTTTTTGAAATAATTTATATTATTTTGGAAATGACCCCACATTTTTTATACGATCAATTATATCCTCCTGAAGCAAAGATATGAGAGAGGAAAACCACTGCTCGATGAAATTTCAGCCATAGTTTAGATAAGAAAGCTGATCCAAGTTGACCCAAAAAAAAGTCAAAGCCATAAAGGCCAACTATGTAAGAACTTGATCTCATTTTTTTTCAAATCAATTGAAAACCATAAAGGTTTGACCAAAAAATTCCAAATCAATTAAATGTATGTCGTTCTGTAACAAAATTTTTAAATATATATTACAAAAGCAACACGTGGCACTATACGATTGAAATTTATATTATCAGACTATTAGATTTCATGGTTTATCAACCGTTTGTATTGGTGGACCATTTATTATAAGACATCAATTCATAAAGCAATATGAAAGCAAGCAACGTTAGCTAACCATTTCTTTCCTTTTAAATCATTCTAATATCCTATGACTTCTGACTTTGAATATTAAGTTTTTTAAGTGCCGTCCTCAACATTGTAGATTAATTCGGAAATGACCCCTTTAATTATTATGTGATCAATTATAACCTCGAGAAACAATATTACAGGCGAAAAATCCAACTGGTCTAGTGGGTGAGAGGTGACAAAACCTGGGTTCGATTCCACTGGTGAGGAAAGATGTAATTTCTAGACCAAAATGGTCCATATACAAAGACTGGTGCCGGATCTAGAGTGGATGTAGTCGGGTTGAAAGGACCAGAGAACCATCCTGATTATCAAAAAAATATATTATAGGCGAAAATCCACCGCTAAAAAGATGCGACGACATGAAGGGTGTTGGAGGAGAGGGGGCAAAGACATGGATGGTCCTAACCAATTAGGTTTCCGACATTAATTGGCCAATCATTTTCAAATATCTTTTTATATCCATTTTTCTTGGTTATTTTCTTGCTTCGTCCGTGGTTCAAAGCTAGATCGAATTTAGTTGTGATTTCTTATTTTTTTTTTGATAAAACATTGTCGGAAGTTTGTTGAATCGAATCCCGTGATTTCTTATTAAAAATATAATCTCATAATAGATAAGTTCTTCCCATTTCAAGATTTGGGGCAGATATAATCGCATATTGTGTTAAATGCATAGCCCATCATTTCTCCTCTTCGTCCGACCTCTGCAACGAGAGATATTCGTGCATGAAGTAATTTTATTTTTTTTAAAAATACCTAAAATACAATTTTTCTTTGATGAAGTGGCATGCCGTTTTTTTATTATACGAGTTCAAAGTTTCCAATTGAGAGAAAAATTCAAGTGTAACGAGGTTTGTGATTATATGATTTCGGTTGTTTGTATCAACGAACCATTTGGTAGGTAGCAAATTTATGGATTTTTTAATTTTTTTTGTTAGGTTAGCATATGAAAAAAACACTGCTCAATAAAAACTTGTTCGAAGAAAGCCCATTAGTTTAGTAAGGAGTTAGACCAATTTGGCCCAAAAGAATCACAGCCACCAGCCCACTAAGTATATAAGTCCGCATATATATATATATGAATATAATAACCAAGTAAAACAACTTCACGATTATAATTAATTTCCCTTCAAAAAAAGATTTCGATCTAACAATTTTTATAATTGAAGTGCTTAAGAATAAGAGTATACAAGCATAATATGCATAATGTTAAGAGATACTATCTTCGATTTGGATTATTATTAGGAGATATGATCTCTCTTAATAATCCAAATATAAAATAATATCTGTATTAACATAATCAAATATATAGGGCGTTACATGTACGGCTTATGTATAATAATAACGTTTGGTTGGATACGTTGCAAACAAGACAGAGAAAAAAAAGGGGGTTTTGGTTAGGGTGACCCCGTGATCCATCGGAAGGGCACTTACCATATCTTGCATGTGGTGCCCTAACACCCCTTGTAAGGGCAGTTTATTTTATTAATTTATTAGAAATTAAACGCTAATTAGTGTTATGGTTTTATGTAACAACATAATCTCAACGGGAAAAAAACGACACAGCGTTACATTTATATGCGATCTCTCTATCTCTCCCATGATATGCAAGTATGATAAAGTAATTTGCATTGTAGCAAAATATTTATTTTTGAAAAAAAACATTTATGAATTTAGGAAATGATATATAAGTTTTTTTTATATGATTTATATATTTTTCGATACTTGTTTTTTTTTGTATAGCATATTTAAAATTTAAAATTAGAATAAGGTCGTGAGGCATTTGAACTTATCTCTCTGGCATGCAGCAATAATTCGGTTGGAAAGAGAAATATGTAAAGCTATACATCTTAGTTGTTAATATTCTCAAAATAGATCTCAATGGACGATCGTATCTTTTTAAAATAATGTCCTAAGTTAAGGTTCAGCGTATGAAGACCATATAAGCAAAGCCCTTTTGTTTTATATTACCATATAATATTAAGATGTTTGCATGGGGTAACGTGGTCGTGTGATATATATAATCAATATATACGCCATGGGTGTGTATGTATGTACGTTGATATATCAATTATAAGAAGATTCGGTACAGCTACTCGTCGCACGACTCAGTTTTATTAATTTTGAAATTAATTAACCTAATAACATGTTTCATGATTTCAATATAAAAAAAAACATGTTCTATGTTTTTTTCTTCTTAATTTCTAACTCGACGGGTGAATAATATATGGCTATTGGCTATCCAAATAAAGATAAACAAAATATTTTATATAATTGTGTTTGAATGTTTTTAGTTTATTATGGATGAAACACTTCGTCCAACACAAAAACCAATACATTATTGTAACATGTATTGCACGAAACGACAATATATGGAGACTCGGAAACTCTCGGAAAGTCTTTTTTTAATTATGACTTGTGACCAAAACTTTTGAAATAATAGATTTATTTTTTATTACAAACAAAATTAATGCAATCCGTAAAAATGTTGGTGAATTTTCCACAAAAAAAAATGTTGGTGAATTCGATTAACTAATTCCGACCGCATATCATAACTTAAATCATTCTTAAAAAACATATAAAAAATATCATACCATGCAACTATTTCTCGGTACAACCAATATTAGATCGTAGACTTAGATATAGCAAGGGTTTTCTTTTTATTTTTGGTTGTCAACAACAAATCATCAATTAAAAAGATAAATTGAAAAATACATATACATATATATATATATATATATATATACACATTGAAATATCTAATTGTGCATATATGCATATATATATATATATGCATGTGTATACATCGTCGTCATGAAAACAAATGAATTGTTTTAAATTCGACAAGAAGATCGAGCGTATCTTTCCCCATATATATATATATATATGAATATATAATGTCACATGCCAACGTCTTTTGATGCGTAAAATATATTGTCTATCTTGGTGACATTGACTTGTGCATACAGATTTTATTCACACATGATTTTTTTCTTCAAACATATTGTATCCGCAATAACAATACACTAAATATTTATTTTCTAAAGTCAAAACCGGAGATTGGAAAAGTAAAATATTATTATAAAGTACCATGGATTTAAATCTTATTTTTTAGAATTTGTGGCATACATACAAAATTTATTAAGAAAGAAAGAAACCCATAAGAATAACCACAACCTCAATGGCAAAGTAGATTTAGAAGCATTCATCAGTATTGTGGAAGATGTAGTTAGGTTAAATATGTGGTGAATTTTTAGATTATCAAAAAAATAAAAAAGTAGATTTAAAAATGATATAAGATCCCGTTTCAATACAACAACAAAAAAAAAATTTAATTTATTTTTGTATAAAAACCGATGATTTTTTTAATATAAAAAATTATCTTTTTCGGAAAGAATGATGTATCACTAATATTCTTTTTATGATCTAAGAATTTCATCGAATTTTTAACTTAATTACATTTCATAAAAGATCAGAGGAATTCAGCTGAATACCTATCTTCAGTTGAAAATTCAAATTTGGATTGGGAAAAAAGTGAACTTTGCACTCATTAGTTAGGTTAAACCTTTCAAACAGCCATGGGACCAGACAGAAGTACATCGGATTGTTAAGGATGAACAAAGTTCATCAAAGAATCTTACTCTGTCAGCTGAAATCCTCTGTTATCTTTGATATCTACCCGAAGAAGTTTTCTACAAACCCTTGAAATTACCCATCTTCCATTAACCAGACAGCAACAGATTACATACATTATAAAGGGTACATAGACTTTCCAAGAACAAAACCAGAGCTCCAAACGACACAGCAAGAACAGGAAGAAATTTCAATTATATTTGTTTTTGGCAAAGATATATCACTTATATTTGACCTTAACAATGTGCGGTTTCCATTAAATTCGATAATACTTTATTAGAAAACCAGACATAACCATAGAACTTTTACATTGAACAAAATTAGGAAATATTAGAGATATAATGAAACATATAATACAATTAGGATTTGACGGACCGGATTTCTAGTACAGCTATAACTCATACCAAGACTAAGATTCGGAGGATTTGTATTTTGTAGCGTCGATCAGAACTTCTAAAATCAATAGTCTTATATAATCATATACGCTTCCACTCACCTCTTCGTATGCGTCACTTACCAATCATATACACACACATATATATATATATATATATATATATATATATAATGATTGTTGATAATTTAAATCATCGTTGATGATTTCCATAACTAATTTATTTTAATAAAAATTTATCACGCCATGAAACGGTGAAAAGATGAGAAAAACAAAAGAAACAAGAGAGCGGGCGTTAAGGCCTAAAAGCCCGAAGACAGGGAAAAGAGGAGGGGGAGGGGGGCCAGTTTTTATTTGCCCGAAGTTCAAAAGCCATATATAGTGCCTGTCACCATCACCAATATATATATACATATATATATATATATATGCAGGTTGCATGTTTATGTATGTATGTATGTATGTAGGTTGAAATGTCCACGTGGCACTTTCCCAACGCATCTACCTGAAACTTCAACCACATTACATTGCATGTGGTCTGATTCACATGTCACTATGAATCATATATGCATGGCATACATGTATAATTTCATCATAATTTTAACATGCATGTGTATAGCTTGAACAATGTTCTAAACTTCTTTCCGACAAAACGAAACAAAACTCTTAATACTTTGGATTACGGTGACTTAGATCTCGACTTAAAATAACTCGAACGATCAATATATATATATATATATATACGAGAGATAAAATATATTAATATGTATATTTGTACGCACTTTCTATAGTTTATAGTAATATATTTAGTTCTCTCAATTTATTATTAATTAATTAAATATATGATTTTCATGCCATTAGTAATATCATTACTCATTCTCACAAAACATCGTTTTTTCTGAGCAATAGTTTATGCATCATGTTGCGAACCACGAAAGGTGGCAGAGGCGATTTGCGAAGACGAGACAGGGAAATGAGACAAGATATGGAGATTGAAATTACATGTATGGGTTCAGGGTTTCATAACGTGTGTACATGCACACACACACAAGTATATATATGTGTGTGTATATATATATATATATGTGTATATATAAAGATTCTGAGTGCAACTTTAGAAGGGTCAAAAGATGTGATGATGAAGGGTGTTGCAGGGGAGGGGGCCTCCATATACATGGATGGTTCTAATCAATTGAGTTTCCGACAGACAAAATCTGTTCGAAATCCACTCGGCTGATCAATTGCATGTCTGATTCCGACATCGTGGATCGCATTTAATGACCACTCAAATAGTCATTGGGATATATATATATATATATATATATATATATATTGGCCAATTTCACGAGATTCCTTTTTTTTTTTTGCATGAATTCTTCCCACAAACTGTCGTGTTAATGCTTCATATCATTTAAAACACCATAGTATTTGATCAGATTCGGCGAATACTAGGGGCTATACAAACGGTTCATATATTGTTTCACAGGTTTGTATATAGTACAAGATTTAATTAAAGGAAGTGGATTTAGTTTGAAATATTCAATCTTTGGATTAAATGAATGTAGGCTATTCACATTGAAAGGATGAACAATTGTATTAAATGAATTGTGTCGTTGTATCTCTTTTTAGTAGATAATATATATAAATCTTAGAATTTAATGTTAACATGTATATTTTATAAAATTATAGTATGTCCATACAATTTTATCGTAAAGTTTATATAATTATAAAATCATAGCACCTCGGATTCTAGTACATGCAATGATTCACCACATTGTTTGTCCAAGTAAAAGTGGCAAAAACCCTCAAAATTTTACTGTATCACACAAAACAAAATACAATAATCCTTAGAAAATTCGGGATAAAGGAAAGTAAATTTCGAAAGTGCATGATGCGGTAAGGATGAACACAACATGGGAAATAGAAAAATATTTATTTTTTGAAAGAAAAATGTCAAAGTGGAATATATGGAACCCACTAGCTCGTTCAGAGAGTATGGTAAACAGTGAGGGTTTTGATGTGTGTATGGGTATATAGTCATGGCAATTTGGCCACCAACCATACTTGTACACGTGCATGCATGCATGCATGATGATGATGATGATGGTGATGGTGACCATGGGAAGCAAATCTTGGGAAAAGAATCGGGAGAAAATTGGCATGTCGTTGCCACCACCACCCCCAACTGCTCAAGATACGGCAAGTGCCACTGTCTTAATTTCACGTTAACCTTTGAATATTATTTAAGGGGAAAAATAACGGGTACTTTAATAGCGAGAAATTAAAAGGGCATATTTGCTGACGTCACATATATCTTTTTGGCGGGTCCCATTTGGATGTATCGCAATGGAAATCTTTGAAGAGAAAAATTACACCTCAATCTATTTTTGTTTTAATTTGCTTCTAAACCAATCTAATTAATTCGTGAAAATATCACATGAATAATTTTGGATTGAAAATAACATTTTTTCCTTTTTTCAGAATAGTGTTTTTATTTCGTAATTTTTATTTTTCTCTTGATTCTCTTTTTTTACTCGGTCTCTATTATGAACAGTTATATATATATATATATATATATATATATATTTGTGCAATGCAAGTGGGGGTGGTAGTATATAAGCAAAGGCCACCTCTTATCTAATCCCAAAAAAAAATCCTCTTACAGATTTGTTTTGATTACTTTATTTATTTTTTCTGACTTTATTTTTTTTTTATTTCCATTTTCTCGGCTGTCTTCCGAATAAAAATGTCTTTCTTTCTTGCTTCCTCCATAATTCAAAGCTAAGATCCAATTTATTTTTGTTTTCTATCCCCTTTACGAGATTCGGGGGAAGATATAGTGTCACGTCTCGTTAAAATGCCAAATCCTTCATCTCTCCTCTTCGTCTGATTTCACCAACGAGAGTTAGGAAGAAGGAAAAAAGAAAACGTAACATTCCCGAGAAAAAGAAGGGATTTTCCCAGAGAGAAAGGAGAAAGTCGGAAACTTTGCATTTGGGTTTGTGATTTTGAGATCGGACCCCGAGGTTTTATCTGCAATGGGTGTGGCAGCAGAATCGCAGTTCCATGTATTGGCCGTTGACGACAGCCTTTTTGATCGGAAGCTCATAGAGAGGTTGCTCCAGAAGTCATCGTTCCAAGGTAAAGCGGAAATTTTCTCGGCTTCCAAACATTGGAAAGTAAAGAAAAGGAAAGAAAATCTGGAAACTTTGGAAATGGGTTCTTTGATAACGCGGAAAAGATCTAAGGATTTGTTCGTCTCTGCAGTTACAACTGTCGATTCAGGCACTAAGGCTCTCGAATTTCTGGGTTTGAGAGAAGATGGTGACGACAGTGATCCGAACACGCCTTCTACATCTCCCCAAACTCATCAGGTTTACCTCATTTTCCTTGCTTGAATTCACCAAGAATCTTTGTTTTTTCCTGTTTCAAAATCACAACTTTGTTTTTTTGGTCTGGTTTGGACAGGAAGTGGAAGTGAATCTTATCATCACAGATTACTGTATGCCTGGCATGACAGGCTACGACCTGCTCAAGAAAATCAAGGTATTTGTTCGTTTTCGCTTTCACTTTATTTGATTCGATCGTTTATTTTTCTCGGCATTTTCTCGTTGGGTTGCCTTCTGTTCCTCCTCTGGGAAATTGCTTTTTCAGAAAATAGAAAAGGTTTCCTTCTTTGTCTCCACTATTTCAATCCAAATCTTTTTTGGAATATTTTCCCAAAACATTTTATGTATTCTGCAGAATAAATACGCATATATATACACGCATATGCAATTAAGAACAAATTATCCTGAGAAAATTACAGAAAAATGTTCTTGTTCTGCAGGAATCATCAGCTTTCAAAAACATACCAGTAGTGATAATGTCATCTGAGAACGTTCCTTCAAGAATCTCCAGGTAAAACACGAGATGTTTTCGATGTTCATACGAAGTTTCCCCAAAAAAGAAAAGATTTTTTAGCCTCCTGGAGATCTTTTGGGCATCTGGGTGTTATTAGATTGTTGCTCTGATGAAAAAAGAAGGGATCTTTAGTGGGTTTTATTTATAGCCTTATGGACCATGAAAACAGGGAGTTTGTTTTTGGTCTTCCTCATCATTTTCCCCTTGAATCAAATATAATTGGAGTTTTGCGGTGATGATTATGCAAATGGGTATTCATGTTTTTGTCTGAATTTGTTCATCAGATGTTTGGAAGAAGGAGCTGAGGAGTTTTTCTTGAAACCTGTGAGGCTGGCAGATCTTAGCAAGCTGAAACCCCATATGATGAAAACCAAGGTAAAGAGCCAGAAGCAGGAGGAGATCGAGAAAACCCTGAAAGAAGAGATTTCTGCTAAACCAGAAACCAGAGAGGGTTCAACCAAACCCGGAACCACATGTCTCCTCCAAGAACCGGAACAGCAACAGCAAAAACAGCTGCTGCTGCTGCAAGAACAACAGGAGCAGCCGGCGAATAACAACAAGAGGAAGGCGATGGAGGAGGGGCTTCCTCCAGCGGAAGATCGGACACGTCCTAGATACAATGGCATCGCAACAGCGGTCTGATGTATTGTCTCGATGCTTCCTGGTTTCTTCAGAAGTTTCATCCTTCAGAGGTTTTGTAGATTCTTTTAGGCATGCTGGTACCTTATGATATATAGAGTTTCCATAGAGAATGTGCAAAAGACAGATGATGATGATGAATGTCGTGTTCATGTGTAAATCTTACAAGCTGAAATAACCACTTTCCAGTTTTGTTTTCCAATTGGAGAAACCTTTTTTTTTTTTCTGATTATGATTCTCTGAAGTTATGAACTGGACAAAGCGTCAGTTTCAGTGTAGGTTCATGTCAAGAATGTCTTCCCGATTACTTGAGACGCACGCAATCGTATTCTCGAATGGGGTTTCGGAATAAAACTGTGAAAAAAAACCGAGATTTTTTTGCGCAAGAGAATTCCGATACAAATTAAATCTATAAATAAACAAATCCACGCCCTGCTGCTCAATCTGAATCTTTCAAACCCATCCTTCGGGGTTCTTGACCGTTCTTGAAGACCGAAGAAACGCAGTCTCGCCTCAATCATGAGCGACGAAGCACGTAATGCCAATACTCCCGGCGGCTGCAGAACTGCCGACGAGTTGTTCGATTACGTGAGAGGCTCTCTCCGCAATCTTTTTAGGAGAAATAATCTGTCCGTCGAGTAGATGAATCTCTTCTGTCTGATTTTCATGTTTTCAGGTAAAGAACAACATCGAGCGGTGCATCCAGAGATACATGAGCCCAGAAGAAGTGGTGGAGCATATGCAGAGCTTAGGGATCGAGCCTGAGATCACCAGAATCTGTTGTTCCTCCATCCCATCGATTTTCTTGTTTCCCCCAAGACTCCTTCTGAAAAACCCAGAATCCGGTTTCTTTTGCAGTTTGGCGTCAACTCGAAGTGGAGAATGCAGAATTTTTCAGCTGGTATTATACGGCACGAGAGCTCGTGCGTCAGGTGAATCGGTTCAACCTTCTCCTCGAGCGGCAAATGGAGATGATGAGGCAAATGAGGTTGACCCATAACGATATAACTGGTAAACCACATGGAAAGATGCAGTCTTTTTTCATATTCTGGATTTCCAACGTCGCAATCTTGATCAGGTGCAGATGCAGAGGCGGATCCTGTTCAAGCCCCGGACACAAAAGCTGTAAAATGTAAGCCCCTCGATGAACGATCTCTCAAAGTAAAAGGTGCGAAAAATCGGGTGTTCAAATGCTCTTGAGTCCTGCAGCTGAGAGAGCAGAGGAGGTCTCGCGCAAACTTGGAATGCCAAATGAGCAGGCTCCTCGGCCTGAATCCGATACGAAAGATGAACGAGGTCCGTACCGAAAGAGAGCAGTGGATTCAAGATTCGAGTTTTTGAAGCATTTTCGTCGGGTATAAGAATGTTTAGCTGTTTCTTCTATCTGAATTCACAGGCGAAAACCAACAAGTGATGCTGAAGCAAATGCCACATCGACAGCAACAACAACTTCGTGAGTGGCCACTGACGCAGCAGCAGCAAGTTCCTCAGCAGCTTCAAATGCAAGCGCCGAATCAACAGAAACAGCAAATTCCTCAGCAGCCTCAAACGCAAGTGCCGAATCAACAGCGACAGCAAGTTACTCAGCAGCTTCAACTGCGAATGCCGAATCAACAGCAACAAGTTATTCTGCAGCTTCGAATGCAAGTGCCGAATCAACAGCAACGGCAACAGCAAGTTCCTCAGCAGCTTCGAACGCAAGTGCCAGTTCAACAGCAACGGCAAGCTACTCAGCAGCTTCAACTGCAAATGCCGAATCAACAGCAAATTCCTCAGCAGCTTCGAACGCAAGTGCCAGTTCAACAGCGACAACAAGTTCCTCAGCAGCTTCAACTCCGAATGCCGAATCAACAGCAAGTTACTCAGTGGCTCGCTCTTGGTAATTCCTCTCCATTTCTCATCATTCACTATTTGTATCTGAATCTTTTGGTATTTTTTTAAACAATGACCTGTTTCTTTCAACCTTTTGACCCGATTAGCTACTTCGCCGGTTACAATGCCTCGAAACCCTTCAGCCCCCGCCGCTGGTGCTCTCAGAGGCATTGTGCATCATCTGCCGCCTGATGAGCAATGGCTCCAGCTGAGACTTGGACCGAGCTGTGATCCGCCACGACAGCAATCTCGGCAAGATGGGCCGAATCGAAATCTTGATCTTAATCAGCTATCACAGGAGGTACGGGATGAGCAACTGTTGCTAGTGAACGAACAAATCCTACTGCAACATCAGCTGCTTCGTGGAGTTCAACCAAACCAGCAGCAGCAACGGCAGCAATCCGTTAACCCCAGCCAGCATCTGGGAAATGTCATAAGACTCAGTCCCCAACAACTGCAACATGGAGCTGATCACCGGCCAGGCCAGCGTCCACGTCTTGATGGGCCATCAATACCTATCCCAACCCAAGAGCGGCGACTGCAACCGCAACAGCAATTGAGAGATCATGGTCCTGATCCCGGCCATCAGCAAGAGCAGCAACCAAAGGGCAGCGGTCAGTCTTGAGATAAATCAAGACCAACTCCACCACTTTCTTGTATTCTGAATTCTTTCACTCTTTTCACTGGAATTTCTTCAAAACATTCATTTTGCTGGATTACGTGAGATGTACGCAATCATCTCCCCAACTGGGTTTTGGAATTAAAAAAAAAAAAGAGAGCTAACTGAGATAATTTCCTGAATTCTAATACAATTTAAATCTTGCAGCCGCGACAGCAACCGCAGTTGAGAGATCATGGTCCCGATACCAACAACCATCAACAAGAACAGCAACACGAGATCAGTTTTGAATTTGAGACAAGCCAAGACGATTTAATTTTCGGCTTCTGAATGCATAGAAAGACAAAAACACAGAGGAACAGAGAAATAACGTTGCAGAGGAACAATGAGACAGAGGAATGAATATATGCGTACATATGTGTGTATATATGTATGTATATATATATATAAAACAATTTAGATTTTATTTTTTAGTGACTAGTCCGTCACTACAATAGTTTTTTTATACGATAGTTTTTTATGATCATTTAAGAAATACATAAATATTTTAAAAAATCAATATTTAAGAAAGAAAATAAATGGTGCAAAAAAAGAGAGAAAAAAATCTAAGAATTCTAAAACAATTTAAATCACCTAAAAATAAACAAAAATTATAACACACACACCCCTCCTCCCGGCTCTATTTAAACGTCTCCGTCCATCTCCCATTCATGGGAATCTCCTTAGCTTTCAACCAAAAAAAAAAAAAACCGATTCCTGGGAATCTTGATCGTTCTTGAAAGAGCGTTTGACGATGAACAGAGACGACCCAGATGTCGTCGGCGACCGCAGAGCCTACAATAATCTTACGGCCGAAGAAAAGATGGAGATCAACAGTAGACTCCGCCGAATCTTTAGAAGAAACGATCCTCCTCTTTCAGTCTTCTTCTCGATCTATTTCCGGATTAAGCATGTTATCAGAGAGTGTATTCGGAGGGGAATGACCCAAGAACAGACGCTCGCATATATGCAGAACAAATTCCGCGGGCTCTCTCCTGTCTACACCCGAATTTGTAAAAAGAAAAAAAATTGCCTTCTGATTCCGTTTTGATCGATTTCTCTCTCGGGTTTTTGGCTTGAACCCTGTTAAAATCTCCGTTCGTTTTTTGCAGTTTGGACGTCGCTGCATCAGCCGATCGCAAGAACCGGTAAAATCTGAAAAAAAGATCAGTCTTTTTTCTTTTCTTGTTTCCCAAGTCACGATCTTGAAAAAGATTAGTGGGTTATATGTCGTCAACTTCTATCTCTCTTGTATTGCGTTCTGAAGCTGAGAGCCCGGATGAGGAATTGAGCTTGATCACGCTTCGGATGTCGAACGAGCATACGACAGACGCACGAGGTCAGTCCATGGAAAAGAAAAAAGAGAGTACTGAACTCAAGATTTCTGAATTTTCCCGGTTCTGTGCTCTTCTCTCTCTCAGGGCAGGTGCCGAATGAACAACGACGTCTTCTGAGGCTAACAGAACTGACATGTCGAATGCAAGAACGACTTCTTCAGCGGCAGACGCAAGAACCTCAAGTCCCGAGCCCTTTCCTCGGTACTCCCCTTTCCTTTTTTCCCATCATTTGGATCTGTTCTTTCGATCTTTTTCACCCTTGACTTATCCCAAACACTTCACCAGCTACAATGCCTGAAAACCCTTCTCCTGCTTCTGCTCCCGGAGGCAATGCGCAGCGGACTCATAGACCGAGTTACAGTCAACAGCAGCAGCAGCAAGATGGAGTCGGAGCTATGAATCTGCAACATGGAGCGATTCCCTACGTGATGCAATCTGAAGCACGAGCTTATCACCGACCGGCACAGCGTCCACGTCTTAGTGGACCCACCCCAATCCAAGAGCGGCAACCGCAACCGCAACCACAAGCGAGTGATCATGGTCATGGAACCAGCCATCAGCAAGATGAGCAACAACAAGAGGGCAGTGGAGAGTCTCTTACATCTAATTGAAAGGATGATCAAACAAACAGATGATATTCTTACATCTGAAAAAAAAAACATTAATGTCGTAATCATTTCCTTCATCATGTAATGGAGAAAACCAACTGAAACTCGTGTCGCCAAAGATTTTAACAGAGAAAACCAGTCCCAAAGTCCGATTTACAGAAATAATTCAAATAAAAAAAATCGTAATACGAGTTGGACCGGTCTTATCCGAACCCGAAATCTTTTATAGGACCGGACTTTAAACTCTGTTTTGTCGGCCTGAAAAAATTCCGCCCATTTGATATCCGTGAAACACGTCCGAGGCTCGGCTGGTGTCGCGCACCACACCACAGGACGATGGGACGAAAATAGTGTGGTTAGTTGCTAAGGGCATTTTGGGAAATCATGGGAAAAATGTTAACCTTTAATTTTTGTTTATTGGTTTGTTTGTACGCATGCATAGGCTTCTTCTTCTTCGTGTATTGTCCATATTTACCCTTCAAGTTTTGTTCAGTTCATAGGTTAAAGAAAGAAATCATAGATCAAACTGTTATATCATTTACCTCTCTACATTGATTTCGAGCAAATTTGGGCAGTTTAATAACAAAATGCAATTAAGTAAAAAAGAAAAAAAAAAGATTTTTATAGGTTTTCAATAAATGGATATTTAGAAAGAAAATAAATTCGTGCAAAAAGAGAAAAAAGAGAATAATACGCAACATAATTCTAAAGTAATTTAAATATATAAACTAAACAAATAAATAAATAAATTCACACACTCCCGCTCTATTTAAACTTCAAACGCAACTCATAAGCATTTTTTTTTCTGTTCAACGAAATGAAATTAAGCAAAAAAGATAAAAAAAAAAATACACACACACACACACATAATATATATATATATATATATATATAATACGTTTTCAATTAAGGAATACTAAAGGAAGAAAAATTTTCTGTGGCAAACGTAATTTTCGAAAAACAATTTAAATCTATAAAATAAACAAAAACAAATAAATTTCACAGACTCCCGCTCGATTGAAGCCTTCATCTCCTCTCCCTTACGAACCTTAGTAGCCTTCGACAGAAACCCATCCTCCTCCGGGATCTTGATCGCTTCTTGAAACAGCAGTTTCGCCATGAACAACAGCGACCCATGGCGTAACCTCCATTTCCTCGCAGAGATGAGAGACATAGATCAGCTCACGCCCGAGGAGATGTACGAAATCCACCGCAAACTCTGCGATTTCACCGGGATGAACGATCCTCCCCTCTATCCCTTTCTGACGCACGTTCTCGGGATCAGGCGTGAGATCGCGAGGTGTGTTCGCAGAAATATGACCTTTGAACAGACGGAGGAATACATGATCCGCTCCCGGCTCTCCCCTTTCTTCGTCGAAATGTGTAAAGATTCCTCCGATTCGATTTTGGGTTAAACCCTAATCTCCATTCTGTGTTGAATCCGATTTTTTTTGGCAGTTTGGACGTCAATCCAGCGGGAAGCAGCTGAGCAAGCTCTTATGCAGATGACAATTACTACCGCAAGAACTGGTAAACACTGGGAAAACGCGAGAAAAAAGAAGAAAGATGCCATCTTTTTTTTTTTTTAATTCTTGTTTCCAAAGTCAGAATCTTGAAAAGATTCGAGTTTTCTGAAGGATTTTGGCGGGGTTTAAGAATGTTTTGGCTGTTTCTCTCTCTGAATTCACAGGCCAAAACCAACAAGTGGTGCAGATGCAACAGCAGACACAAGTTCCTCATGTGCTTCAGATGCAGATGCTGAATCAACAACAACAGCAAGTTCCTCAGCTGCAGCTTCTTCAACAGCAACAGCAACAACAACAACACCAAGTTCCTCTGCTGCAGCGTCAACTGCAAATGCCCAACCAACAGCAACAACCACAACAACAACAGCAAGTTCCTCAGCCGCAGCTTCAACTGCAAACGCCAAACCAACAGCAGCAGCAATGGCGGCAATCTAGGCATAATCAGATGGCAAACCAACTCTCTGGGCAGACCCAAATGCCAAATCAGCAGCAATCTCAATGGCTTGCTCTTGGTAATTCCTCTACTTATTTTTGAATCTTTTGGTGTTTTTAAACACTGATTTGTTTGTTTCAACCTTTTGCCCGATCAGGCACTTCACTGGCTACGATGCCTCGAAACCCTCCTGCCGCCTCTGCTGCTCTCAGAGGCGTTGTGCATCATCTGCCGCCTGATGAGCAATGGCTTCAGCTGAGACTTGGACCGAGCTATGATCCGCTGCCACAGCACCCTCGGCAAGATGGATGGAATCAAAATGTTGATTTTAATCTGTTGCCACAGGAGGTACGGGATGCACAACTTTTCCTTGCGTACGAACAACTGCAACAGCAACAACAGCAGCAACTGCAACAGCAACAGCAGCTGCAGCTGCAACTGCAGCTGCAACTTCAACTGCAACTGCAACTGCAACTGCAACAGCAACAGCAGATGCTACGTGGAGGTCATCCAAACCGGCGGCGACAGTTTGTAGTGAGATTCGATCCCCAGCAATGGAGATTAGATGGAGGCAACCTCAACCAGCAGCAACAACCTATCCCAAGTTTCAGTCCCCAACAACTGCAATACGAAGCACGAGCTGATCACTGTTCATCACAGCGACCACGTCTCGGTGGACCTCTCACAATCCAAGAGCAGCAACCGCAACCGCAACAGCTGCAGCAACCGCAAGTGCGACCGAGATATCAGGGTCCTATCCCGATGCAAGAGCAGCAATCACTACCGCAACAGCAACAGCTACAACTGCAGCTATCGCAACCGCAACAGCAACAGCAACAGCAAGTGCAACCGAGAGATGATGATCCAGGTATCAGCCATCAGCAAGAACATCAACACGAGACTAGTGGCGATCAGTCTGAGACAAATCAAGACAATCCTCCTCAACCATCTCTGTCCGGAAGCTCCAGTTCCTCGTCCAGGAGGTAGATCGACGTGAAATCATTCAAGTGAAAAGGATAATCAAACAACCACAGATACGATTCGTACAAAAAAAAAAATACTGTCCTAATCATCTCCTTTATCCGTTCCGTTTTGTAGAGAAAAAACAACTAAAATTCATCTTGTACATATGGATGGGTCTTGTATACTTTTCGGCTTTTGAATCCATTGATACCAATACCATAAAAACAATGAAATAGTTAAGAAAGAAAATTCTTTTTCTGCATAAAAGAAGAGATAATTTTGGGGGAAAAGAGAGGGAGGAGCCATTTTCTAGAGAAAGAAACTGAGACTCGATTATCGGGGGAGAGGACAGAGAGAGTTCTTCTCCGTCGTGCACTTTTGGACGTTGGATTTGTCGGACGAATTTCAAATAAAGCTGGCGGGGAAGATATCACAGGTCCAATCGGTTACGAATCCGGACTCGGGTCGGATCCAACCGGACTTATCACTTGCGAGTTAGACCTCGCTCTGTTTTTTTTTTTTTCCATTGATTTTTATTCCTCCTGTGCAGATGCCTCGACCAGGGGATTCTTTTTCCAATCCTACTAATTGAGTGTGTGTGTGTGTGTGTGAGAGAGAGAGAGAGAGACGCTATATTCGGTGCGGCGAGGGAAGATGGCGATGCCGGTGGGAGTAGCGATGTATATAGCGAAGATGGTGTGGATTGCTCTGAGCGGGTGGGTCGTCATCTGCCTCTCCATCGCCGACGAGATCGCAGGTTGTCTCAGAACTGGCGACATCGGCCCTTTCCATGTCGGCTGATCGATTTCAATGGCTCCTCTGTGCGTATCTCTTCTCCGTCTCGATTTTACACACCTGTTTGGTTTGTCGTTTTGTCGGTCTAGGTCATTTCGAACCTGTGGTATAATGATCTAACAATCCTCGGTTGAATTCTAATTCCTGCAAGTTCCCGGGTCAATTTATTATGTTTGTGTTCGTGGTTTTCTTGATTGTGTGCGCGTTCGAGTCTTGTTTGTGCTAGTGTTTTTAGGGTTCCTTGAGTATGAGTTTCATGGAAAGTGAGTGACCATTTCCACGTTGGTTTCTGGTAAATGTTTAATGGTGTGACTTTCCAAACCACGTTATGCATTTCTACCAGGCTTGGCTTCGGTTTTCAGATGCTGAACTGAATCGAAATCTCAGTAGTTCTTCTGAGAAAATTCGTTAGGATCTATAGCCTATGCCCGACACTTGCCTACGTATCTTTGTGGAATCATTCGGGGTTATTTGATTTTGTCTAATCTTGCTGAAGATGAGATCTTTCAGATGCTGAAAAACCTCCATTCTTTTACCTGCTTGAGTGAAGTATCTCAATTTGTAGTGGCTTCATAGACATGTTGTAACGATTGCCAAGTAGAAGTCGCAGCTCTAGAATGAGTTATATAGATCCTTGACAGCACGTTTAAACTTCCACGAAGTGCCGAAACTAGCTTCTGAATCTTGGCTGAGATCCGGGTGTTGCTTTGTCAATACCAACCTTCTTTCTGTTTGTAATGCCAGGAGGAGGAAATGAATGCAAAGGCGTGGAGAAGGCATTGGCAATGATGTTTTAGACGACAACAATGACGGGTATGGCGTCTTCTAAAAAATTATACCGTCAATCTGATGCTTGCTCGTTGATCTAACGGATTGAAAATCGTCTAGATATAGGAAGTGGCAATGGGTTGTGAAGATAGATTCTGAAACTGTATAGATCGAGGGTTCATATAGATTTGCGTACTTGTGTAAATGCTGCCGAGTACCCATTGATTTTTTTTGTTCTTGTGCATAAGTTTTGTGCTCAAACTCGGCCTTTCTCAGACCCCAATGACGTTAATACGATACTAGTGATGTCAAAATAGACCTACCTCGCGAGCCTGTCCATATATTCCGATATGGGTTCGGAACATTCGAATCCGATAAAAAATGGACTAGACGAGGTGGTTCGCCGTGAACGGAGGTCAATGCGAACTAGCTCGGCGAGTCTCGTAAGAATAAGTCCGAGTTTTTTCTGTCTTTAATGTAACAACAACTTGCGAGATTGTATTTAATGTTTACAACTTATGTTCCCAATTACTTGTAATTTCAAAGATTGAAGTAGTTCATATATTTAATAATCCATTTATTTCTAAGAAAAACCCAAATTTTGTGTGGTGATTCTAGTGGATATTTTGGAGAAAAAAAATTAAGGCTTTTGTTTTTCATCTTCTACATGTTATTATTTTGAATTTTAATTCGGTTTGATTTTCGTATTGTGTTATATTCGTTTTGAATCCAATTGAAGTTTGATTCAAATTCATTTAAAGTTTGGTTTCATTTTATCTCAGAGTTTTTGAAATCCAAAAACAAAGAAATATCAAAATTTAAAGCCATAAAGAATAATAGATTTAAATAAAAGAACCTTTGAAAAGTAAGGCGTTGACAGTTACAAGTCGATGGAAATATTAGAAACGGACAAAGGTGAACCAACAAAAGGAATTGTGAAATTAAAATCAATATATGATTGTTCCTCTGTATTTCTTTTTTTTATTTATTATTGTATTTTAAGAGGTCAATCACAAATGATACAAGTTATCATAGTTTTTAAATCAAAAACTCCACAAGGCTAAGCATCCAAACATTGCGTAATGCGAACCGACGAAGAAAAGAGAATGTGACCTTTTTTCGAGAGGAATTTCATCAATTATACAAAAAAAAAGTAAAAACAAATAATAATAATAAATAATAATAATAATAAATCATAAAAAGTTATTATTCCTCTAACACGGTGTTAATATCGTTTATCGTCTTTTGTTAATCATGGTATCTTCCCTTTCTGTTTATCAATCAAAATCAATCGGAAATCAAATCACAGTCATGGTTATCATCATCTTCTAAATGTTCACAAACAAACACTTGCTATTAAATTTTCACCATCTTCCACCTCCACCTCCAACTGCTATAGACAGCTATTTTCCACCTGTTTCTCTCTCTCTCTATCGGTCTCTCTATCATTCCCAGAAAACAATAAATCACAAGAAACCCAGAAAGTGAAACGGAAATCGACGCCATTGTTGCTCTCACAGAGAATTCTGCAGCGTCAATTCATGGGTTCTTCTGCTTCCAAAACCGTTGCTTCTGCGTCTTCTTTTTCGTCTTCCTCTTCTTCTGCTTCGTCGGTTTCACCATCGGCGGCGAAATCCTGCTCCCATTGTCCGTCGCCGGTTCCGAGGGCTTTCTCCTTCCCGACGCCGTTGGTTCATCACCCTCCAGCGAGGAAAGGCGACACTCACCACCTCGTCTCCCTCACATCCACCACTTATGGGTCTCTTCTCCTCGTCGATCTCGACGGCGGAACAGACTCTTCCGACCGGCAGAAATTTCCGCCGTCGCAAATCTCCATTGCCGCTAAGAAGACACTGGACCCGGGCCCGCGCGACTCGCTGTCCCCTGACTCGGTTATAAACACATGGGAGCTCATGGATGGGCTGGACGACGAGCTAGAATTCGAGAATTCCGATCTGGGTAAGTGTAATTCCGGCGGAAATTTTAAGGTTTGCCCTACACCCATTTCGAATCAGGGCGTAGGTTTGAATGGGTCTGCGTTGAAATTGGACGAATCTTACGAGTTTGTGAGGATGGAAGATGAGGATGACTGGGTTCCATTGTCTTATAAAACCAAGCAACCTTTATGGAAGCATTTGTCTGAAGAGTCATTTCTGTCTGATTTGGATCCTGGTGTTGTTTCCACTTACAAGAAAGCGCTGTCTTCGAAGCAATTAGGCAACAACAGTAACAATGTCGCCAAAAACCTTCACAGGAGCTCCAAGTCTCTCTCTTACAGCCCATCGAATCCATCCATCCTAATCAGCAAACCAAAGTCTCTGTCTTCAAGTCCTCCAGCTCCAAGCTGCCAGATTCTGGTAGACAAATCATCAAGATTGCCAGGCGCAGAAGACAAAGTCGTGTTGTACTTCACAACCCTCCGGGGAATTCGAAAGACATACGAGGATTGCTGTTGCGTTAGAACGATACTGAGAAGCTTTCAGGTCGCCATTGACGAACGTGACATCTCCATGGATTCCACATTCAGGAAAGAACTGCAGAATGCGCTTGGAGCCGAGAAACCAGTTAGTTTGCCTCAGGTGTTCATACAAGGAACACACATTGGTGGTGTTGATGAGGTCAAACAGCTCAACGACGACGGCGAACTGGCAGAGATGGTAAAAGGGTTGCCTGCTCGCGATTGTGTGGGAGCTTGCAAGAGCTGTGGGGACGCTCGGTTCCTGCTGTGCTCAAATTGCGGGGGCAGCACCAAGGTGTTTCGGCAACAAGACAACGAGTTCAAGCGATGTCCTGACTGCAACGAGAATGGTTTGGTACGTTGTCTCGGGTGTTGCCTCTGATGATCAGACAGGACATTTTGCAATGCAGCATTATCAGTAAGCACTGGAAAAAGCCTTCACCCCCCGTGAGAAAAGACGGGATTGGATTCTTGGGATTGATTTTTGGACCCTGACATGTTGATGAATCTGCTCTTCTATTAGATGATGATGATTTTATCTGTTTGTTCAGTGTATCTTAATCTCTATGAGAGCATAGTGAAATAAGAAGTGGCTCAAGCTACTCTGCTCTGTTTAGTCTCTGCCTGTGTGTGTGTTGTGTTCTTTCTGATGTTGTTCTATGCAATCTTGCTCTCCCTCTGTGTTCTTGAGCTTTGACATTTTTCTTATGGTTGCCTCTTTTAACACTTTTGTCTGATTTTTGTTCGTTTTTTTTTTGTTTTATAATATGTTCATGTTCTAAATTCACACCTTCGCCATTCAAATTTGAAAAGTGCAAGATTTTATTATCTCGAGGATTCTTGAAATTTGCCATTTCAAAATTCCAAGCTTTTTTTTTTGAGAGTTGCTTTTATAAATCTGAGGAAATATTTACTGAAGAAGCACTCTAAAAAGTTAAATCCTTTAAACCGCTTTCACCGCTTTTCTCATTGCCTGTTTTGTCCTCCCTCGCGACGCGAGAGAGAGAGAGAGAGAACGGAGATGGAGGGAAAAGGGAAGGAGGGCTCGTCAGCGGCGGCGGCGGCATCGTGCCTGAGCAAATACGTTGACCATGGAAGCGTGGAGAGCCACAGATACTACCTAGCGCGAAGAACCGCCATGGAAATGCTGCGGGACAGAGGGTACGAGGTCTCCGCCGACGACATCAACATCTCCCTCCACGAGTTCCGGGCTATTTACGGCGACCATCCTGACGTCGATCGCCTCCGTGTCTCCGCCGTCCACCGCTCCGACTCTTCAAAGCGGGTACTTCGGATTTTCTCTCCGTTTATCTTCGATTTCCGCGGCGTTTCCTCTGCATGTTTGGCTACCCAGAAAGTGGTGTAAAACCCTAGCGTTTCTGTTGTCCTCATCTGATTTTGCTCGCTTTAATTGTTGTTGGGTCTGGCTAAAAGTTTTGTACTTTGAAGATTATGGAGTTGAAATTTTCTTCAATCCCCAGTTTTGGTGCCCTATAAAGACATCAAAATTAGGGGTTTAGCAGAGTTTATCTGCAGAAGCAAGCAATGCTGCTTGATGGAACTGAACTACAGTAAAAGCCATTATCTTTCTTTCTGCATGAACTCGTTTTGGTACTCTCCCCATATTGAACTTAGCTGGGCGATCCTTCAAACCAATCTTTATATGTCATTTTTCTGTCTTCTGAAGCATTTTCGAAGCCTTTTTCTAGATCTGTAGAAGTGATGATTGGTCTCTGAGATTGGATACTGAGCATTCTGATAGTCAGTACTTTGATATTTCGCCCTTCTAGTGTTTGTGAGCGGAGGTGAGACAGTGAGAGTACCGATAGGCAAATAGCTAAAGATATCGTTTTGGATTGTCTCAGTCGTAGAACAAGATCTTACCGCGGAAGAATGTCCTAGACGACTCTCAGTGATGTTATTTTGTCAAAAAGTTTAATTCTTTATTGGTTCTTCCGTTGTTCATAGGTACCCTCGTCGTTGGTTTTGCGATTTTGTGTCAATGATAATGGCTGAGGGAGATCAGTGAACCTTTTCTTGGTTTCTCTGGTAGCAGCCAATTTTAGCCTGGGGAAAAGTTACGGCAATGCTTTGTGTAAAAAACTTAGTGTCGTATCATCGTGTTTAGGTCTCTAATCGTGACCCTTTCATGACAACAGAAAACGCTACTGATCTTGATATATGGTTGGTGTTTGGTTTTCAGATAACGGTCGTCTTTTCTGGAACTGGTATGGTGAAGGTCAATGCAATCCGCAGCATTGCAGCAGATATACTTAGCCGGGAGAGTGTAACCGGGATGATATTGATTCTCCAAAGCCATATAACCAATCAGGCTTTGAAAGCCGTCGATCTGTTTTCGTTCAAGGTTGAGTTATTCCAGGTATTCTTCCCATCCAATTCTTAGGTATCTTTTTCGATTCAGCTTATTTACCGGAAAAAAAAAGAATCCGGGTAGGTTCATAACATCTAGCTTTGTGTGGTTATAGATAACGGATTTGCTGGTTAACGTAACCGGGCATGTGTTGAAGCCAAATCATCGGGTTTTGACTGACAAGGAGAAGGAAGCTCTTCTCAAGAGGTTCTGTATTGATGAAAAACAGGTCCGTACGCTTTCTGCACTTCACTCGAAACATTCTAGAAGGAACTCCTCTGTCATAACCTAAAAAAGACCATCTTTCTGATTGAACGTTTGTGTGTTCTGTATCGAATTTCCCGATAGCTTCCTCGGATATCGAAGAAAGACGCGATCGTGAGGTACTATGGACTCGAGAAAGGGCAAGTGGTTAAGGTAACGTACAGTGGTGAGCTCGCGCAATCTCATGTCACTTATCGTTGCGTCTGGTAACCTTTTTCCGATGCGGTTTTTGGGCTCGTTTTGTTTCTGTTTTCCTGTTGTGTCCTGTGATGTAATAACCTGTGGGTGAATCCAGGTGTATGTAATAAATGGAGGATCACCTTAAGTTATGGAAATCGTTGCGGATGATCTTCATACTTTCGGACAAGAAATTATCCCCATGGTTATGTTCAGTACAGTTCAGAGTGTTCATATTACAGATTTTGCATCCTTTGTTGCGTAAGAAATAGAAAGCTCAAGACTTGGTCAAACCGTGGACTTGGTCAAATCTGGCTGATTCTTGTTTGACCCATTTCATGACTTGCTCGGCTTCATGGCCGAGCCTTCGCTCCTGCCGCCTGGCCGCCTTCAGCAGCCGCGCTTGTTCCTCCACTGAGAAAGTGCTCGCGTCCGATAGGAACTCCTCCCCGGTGGCCGGAAACGGTTTCTGGTCACTGGTAGCCGCCATCATAGCCGTGTCTCCGCCGTGTTTCTTGTCCGGTACGCGAAGGCAGCATAAGGTTGAACCCATGCATGCGGGGAGAGAGAGATGGATTCGTTTGCGAGAAAATGAATGATGGTACAAGCCGATATTACGTGAATGATATAATCTTATTTATGTAGGAAACGATTAAATAAATAACTATTTTTTTCTCTCAAATTTGTTCGAAATCTAATCCATAAAAATGAGAATTTGATTGGCCACGAAGTGTTTAGTTAATTTACATAAATAAAAAAAGAAATAGCGAACAAATAATAATAACATTAGTTTGGTTGGGGGAAGCCCCTAGCCCAGTTGGTAAAATGACAACTCAAAAGCCATGTGGTGGAGAGTTCGATTCCTCCTGGTGTCAAGCTTCCCCTGAGCCGGTCAGCTTCGGCTGGTTTACCTGCTCCACGTGGTTTACCGGCTATTGCGTGGAGTCGTTGGGTTTATCGTCCGCGATACTGTATCATTCGTCCGGCCCTTTGGGCTGCGAGGCGTTGCGGTATCCGACCCGAAGGGTCGAGGGCGGGTTCCCAACGTTATCAAAAAAAAAAAAAAAAAAAAACTTAGTTTGGT